CAGTTTTAACTTTGTTAGTATCTCACTGTAAATATATAGTGAATATAGCCCATATTATTCCCGCTTTTCAGACTGACAACATTTATGGCTTAGGTCAGATGATTTATTTTGTAAATGTTCCACAGAGACTTGGAAGATGCAGTGGCGGTTTGTACAGCTAAAACTGCCCAAAGCTCTCAGGCCAGCCCTGGTTTCTGCATCTAGATTCACAATAACCTCACCTTCATCCTGATCAGATCCACCGCGTCTCCTCCTACGCTTGCTTCATTTGAGTCGGTTTTATAAAGTTCTAAATTCAAGTCTAACATACAGACAGAAGAGCACACAAATCGAGACCTCGGTGAAGAAGCACTATGTCCAAGCTCCCAGAAGTTTCTGCCCACGATTAGGCGCAGAGGCGCCGCTAGGACCACCTACGACATCAGCCCGTCTGCTCCGTTTAACATTTCCTCCTCACGACCTGACGGGAGTCCTACCAGCCTTGTTTCCTTCCCGTCTGCGCCACCTGCCCGCGGCCGCCCCTTCCCCTGCATGTCGTAAGGCCCCCCGGTCCTGGCTGCCGTCCCCTGAGCTGCCCCCTCCCCCCTCTCCCTCGGGGCTCCTGCCCCAAAGCCATCCTGCTGCTGCGTCCCAGTTCTCTTCCCCATGTCCCCGGCCCTTGGGACACCGTGTTAGGAGTTAGGAAAGGCCAGGAGGCCCCCCTGGCTCTGTCCTTCTCAGGCTGTCTCCTGACTGCCACCCCGCCCCAGCCCCCACCCCGGCCCCTCTGCACGCTCAGCATCAGCCTCACTGACTTACTCCCAGTTGCAGAGCAGCTTGCCCAGCACGGGCCCCTCTCCTGGGTGCCCTGCCCTGCTCTATGCCTCTGCTACAGGCTCCTGCTCTGGCCCCACGGCCCCGTCCCAGGCCCTGCACTGAGCTGCAAGCAGCCCCTCTACTCGTCTGTCACCCCCAGCCAGCCCACACACATGGGGGGGGACAGAGTCTGGGGACAGATGGCACAGGGCCTGGACCAGAGAGAGGGCTCCGAGGGCTGTGCTGGACCACCAGGAACATCAGAGCAGACAGAGGCCCTGTTGACAGGTGCTGCCCTCACCTGGTCCCGCCTGGTCCCACGGAGTGGCCACCCGCCATCCATAGGAGCCAAAGGGCCAGGCGCCTGGGCCAAGCACAGCAGGCCAGCTCCCCGAGGGCCTTCTCATGCCACCTACAAAGCAGCCGGGAGCTCTCCCCATGACGTGGGGCACAGAGCCAGGCACCCGCTCACATGGAGCTCGTCTCTGTGCATGAATGGGGTTCAGATGACAGCCACCCCACCCATTCCTGCCCTGTGCTCACAGGCCCCGTTTCCACTAACGAGGCTCTCCAGCCACCAACAGAGATGAGGCAGTAGATTCACGTACTGGAAGTATTTCCTGACCTCTACGCTCCTGAAGACCCCACGGAAGGCCCATGCTTCCACTGCAAATTCCACACTCTGTTCACAATCAATCATTTACTCTCCTTCCTCTGAAAAACTGCATGCCACCACCTTCTCTGTGTGTCTAAGGGACTCACTCTCCTCAAAATCAAAACAAAGATACCGATTCCTCCGTGGGGAGAATTTCTCAGTCTCACAGAGTACCTCTGTGTCCATGCTGCCTCTGGGCCACAGTCCCAGGAGGCAGGACAGGAAGAGCCCGGGTGGGGGGCACACCGGGCCGTGGAGGCAGGGAAGGCTGGCTGTGAAGGAGGACCAGCAGGGCGGGGGCGGCACAGGGCCACATGGGGCTGCACTCGGACCCCCACGACCATGGGATGCCAAACGAAGCAGCTTAGACTTCAGGGGATAAAGTGATAGGATTTTCTAGAGTGGCTCACGTGCAGCTATTTTGTAATGCTTGAACTTTACAAACCAGCCAGAGATCCCAGTAAAGCCAACACCCGAAGCTTGACCACATCTCCCATTGGAATGGAGCACGCCCAGAGGGAGCACAATGCCTCGCGGACAAGCCTGCAGTTCTGGAACAGGGCTGGAGCCCCGGCAGTGGGAGCCACACCAGGTTTGCATGCCACCAGACACACTGGAGGCAGCCCTTGGATGGCTTATTCAGCCACATGTGCCTGAAGGGGGGCGGAGGGGACCTCAGCTGCTCACGGCACAGCGAGTCCCTCACCCTCTCTTGCCGTGAGCTCTCTTGCCGGGGAAACAACCCCCACAGAGGCCCAGAAAGAGGCAGAGCCTGCTGGATGCACCCCCAGGGGACATAAGACTTTGTGCACAAGGGGGGTCCTTCCACCCAAAGACCCTACAAAAGCTCATTAGAACAAGGCAAAGGGAGGGCAGAACCCGGGCTGTCGGCACAGAGGCTCAGACCTCGGCAGCCGGCGGAGATGGGAGCAGGCAGTGCATGGAAAGGGTGTGCTCTGGCGCCCGCAGGAGGGCTGGGAAACTAAGTCATCTGCAGGAAGGGTGGAGCAAGCTCTGGCCGGGACAACCAATCATCAAGTTAAAGTACAAAGCTTCTGGGCGCTAAGGCTCAGGGCAGGAGCGAACGCCCACTCCAGAAGGTGCCTCCCTCCATCCAGAGGACCCAGCAGGCCCTCGGGGATGTTCACGGAACCACACACAACCAGACCACCGGCCTACGTGAGCCTCCGAAGCCAAGGTGCACTGCCTGCCCAAGTTCGGGGGAACTGAACCCGGGGGCAGAGCCCAACACCTCTGCCCCGGTACCTGCAGCAGGGGGCCTGGTGGACACCCGGGGAGTCTTCTTGCTCCTGGGAAGCCTTTCTCTCCGGGTAAGGATTCTGTTCCTATGGAAAGGACTTAAAGCAACACTATTTCCCAAGAGGCACATCACAAGTCTGCACAGAGTGAGAACGGGGACTTTTAGAGCCTCTTCCCAGGAACATCCCCCTGCTGGCGGCTTGGGTTCTTGGTCCCAGTCACTCAGGCCATCCTCCCTGGGCGCACTCATTGTCCTAAAATGTCACAATTACAAACACGATTCCCCCATGCTCACCAGGACTCCAAAGGTTCTTTATTTAATTTCTCTTTTCCTATTTCCTCTCCCATCTAGTTCAGTCCTCCACAACTCACTGCCGTGTTTGTACCACGCACTCGGTCAACCCCCGTGACGCTGAAGCCCTGGGTCCTCCCCTGCCCCCCACGCCCTGCACGGGCTCTGCTGGTGTCCTGGCCTCGTGAACCTCAAGCTCGTGCGCAGGACTCTGAGAGGCCGGCAAGCCGCCTCCGGCTGCCAGGCAAACCCTCTCGCCAGCACCGGGGAAGGTCTGCAGCCAAACAGCAACACACGGGGCTCCTAGAAACGGTGGTAAGACATGGCGGGCGAATGAACCATGGGACTTGGCAACACATCTTCCAAGCCCCCAGGAACGCCGCCACCCAGGGTCATCTGCCACATGGCAGAGCCCCAAGCCGCCCCCTCACGGGGGCTCTTGTGTGAGGAGTGAGATGGGAGGCCCCAACAGGCCCGGGCTGAGGAGGGGCCGGGACCAGCCCAGCACCGACCTCCTGGCCGGCACCTTCCCCGACCTCGCTCAGGTCCCTCGCGAGCAGGGCTGCTCCCACCTGCCGTCCTCCAGCCCAGCAGGGTCACAGCCCCACGTCAGCCTCTTCCTGGCACTTCACACTAATGAACATAAGGTACAAGCATGCGCCCCATGACGTGAGCCACCCTGTGGAAAGGGGATCCTGGTGGCACTGTCCCTATTTGGGGAGCAGGGAGGAAACGGGGGACAGAGTGGCAAAGCCCCTTGTGTAAGGTTGCTCGTCTGTTACGAGTCTCTCTCCCCAACCAGAACTCAAGGGCCAGTGGGCGAGGGACATTTCTCAGGCACACATGGCTCAGGGCTGTCCAGGGTCAGGGCTCAAGAGTGATTTCTGGGGTGATGACAAGCCTCCCACCTTAGCACATTCTCATGCACAGCACCCCATGGTCATGAACTCCTATCGCCCCCGAGTTCTGTCTCACCTCCCCCCAGCAGGCAGAGCCCCAGGAGGGAGGCAATGAGAATCCCACACGTGGTCAGCCTAGAGAGCCGCAGTCCCCTGGTATCTTCTGTTCTCCAGGAGGCGCTCGGGGAGTCAGCCCAAGCACAGGGGTGTGTGCCGACCAGGGTCACACCACGGCGGGCCACTGTGCCCCGGGGAAGCTGTGCCCATCTCCCTCAGAAAAACACCCAGGCTCTCCATGGGCCAGGGTCCAGCTCAGCCAGCACTGTTCTCCCAAACCTCCCACAAGAAGCCAGGGTGCCACAGGGCCAAACAGACTGCCCAGAGCCACCACACCGTGACCCCAGACATAGGGCCTCCTAGTTTGTCCCTGACCTAAAAGCCAAGGGGCTCGAGGAGGTGAAGTGGCCAGAGTGTCCCCAGCCAGGTGGGGCAGAGCCCGGTCCCCGGCCCCCACCGATGGTGTCCTCTTCTGTGTACCTGAGGGGCCCCACCTTCCCGGGTCACCAGGCAGAAGGACTCGGGCATCTGGGGTCCCAGTGGATAGCACCCTGTGGAGGGGTCAACACCCCCATGGTACTCAGGCCACCACATGGAGGCACACTTGGGGGTGGGGACAGGCTGGGGACTCAGCACCCATGGAGCCCCTAGGCGAGCACAGAGCTGATGCCAACGTGGCTCTGAGGAAACTGCCCAGAGAGGCCAAGCAACATGTCTGAGTCACACAGCTGCCAAGCGGCCAGCCCGGCTGCTCACAGACCAGCACCTCCCCTAACGCATCGCAGCCCTGAGCCACCCCTTGGGGCCGTGCTGTGGAGGACACACACACAGGCTCAGGAAGCGCCCCCGGGAGTCCAGGAAAGGGCTGAATTTCTGGCTCCAGGGGAGCGCGGCCAGCCCACTTTCCTGGGTCGGCCGAGCTCGCCAAGAGCAGGAGGTCGGGCTCGCAGCTCCGGCACAGACAGCCCTGGGAACGACAGTGTCATGAACCTCCCCCAGGAGAAAATCAAGTGCAGGGCCTTTAGAGAAGGCATTTACTTACCTGGAAATCCCGCTCTTCTAAAATTTCCTTCCTCCATCTCACCAGAAAAGCAGCGCAGACATACAGGTGGAAGTGAGAGAAGCCGTCGGGTTCAGACTGCAAGAGAGAACACGGGACGTGAGTGCGCCCACGCGACCACGTGGCCGCCGGCGGCCAGCTTACCCCCCACCAGGCAGACCCCCCAGGCGCTCTCAGACAGCGCAAAGCGTGCATGACTTGCTCGCTTTTACTTTTTCTCATCTCCTGCGCATCAATACAGGCTTCTGACGAAGAGGAGGCGAGCAGCTTGCTCATCCGCCTCTCCTGCACGGGTGACTGCCAGCAATAACAGAAGGCAGACCGTGAGAAGGCCTTCTGTGCCACGAACCGGGGGGGACACCTGCCCACAGGGGCCGGGGCACTGGCAGGGGCTGGCCTGCGGTCCTCGCTCCCCTGATGGCGCCCCCAGGGGGACGAAGCCAGCTGGAATCAGTGAGGTAGGGAGGAGGCTGCGCGCACCTGCTCCTACCCCACGGGCTCCTCACCAGGTCAATGCTCCCTTCCCACTATGCGTTCAGCTCGCCCCCTCTTCAGGGGCGCTCCCTCCTCCCGTGCCTGGCCTTAGTTCAGCATGTACCCCCAACTTCTGAAACCAGGGTTCTCAAAACTCAGTTTTTCCCATTCTCTTACAACACAACTGAGTGTTACAAATCAATACCCAAAGAAAGCTCAAAACACAAAACAAAATCAAAATGAACCACACGTTTCTAGATTTTTAAAAAAGCATGCTAAGAAGTAAGCTATGGTTCAAACAAGTAAATCATAAAAGAAGGCAGAGCAGGGGATGTGGCCGCACTGAGGTCCCCGGCAGGCAGGAGGGCTGATGGCACAGTGCTAGGGAGGAGGGAAGGAGAGTCACTGGAGCCCGGAGTCCCACTTCACCGCGCCGCCCGGAGCTGCTGATGGTGCAAGCGCATCCCCACCCTACACGCCCTCACCTCAGTCCTCAGGGACCGCTGCTCTGCACGCTTCAGCCCCGATAACGAAGTCGGCTTTGCCCTAAGTCTTTCGGGTGGATAACAACACAGAGCAGGTTAGAACACTCGCCCTGACTCACTGGAGTTCTTACTTCATCAGATGCTCTCCCTCCATCAGTGAAGGTGGTAAGATCGTTTCCCTTTCATCTGTTCAGGTGATGAGTGACATCAGCATACTCATTTCCTTAACGTCGTGCTAACCGTGCATTCCCGGAGAAACTCAATCTGGCCACAACGTATTATATTTTTTCATCACAGCTAGGTCCCATTCGCTAATGTTTCATTTAGAGGATTTCCATGTCCACGCTGAGACTGGCCTCCCGTTATCCTTTGTTGAACTGCCCCTGTGCAGTTTAAGCATGAAGACTGTGCCTGCCTTTTTCTACCTGTTTCCATGCTCAGAGTCCATACAGGACTGGGACATCTCCCCTTGGCAGGCTTGCTAGGCACGCCCTAGAAAACAGACCAGGCCTGATGTTTTCCTTGTGGAAAGATGTGGATTCCTGATTCAAGTTCTAACTCCTCAAACTCCTTCAAAATTTTTGAAGAATTTTCTTTAAGAATTTGTCATCTAATTTTTCAAATTTGTTCATAATATCCCATTTTTCTTGAAATCCCTGCTGCATGTGTAGCCGGATCCTACTGGAAATTCTTAGTACCACATTTACATATGCCTCTCCTCATCATCATCCCCAGTGGTGCTCAAAGTCTTAATTTTGTCAGTGTTCTCCCAGAACCAACTTCTGGGTCCGTGTTCCATCTGCCAATCTTTTATACTTCCTCCACCTCTGCTGTTACCCCTCACCATGGCCTTCCCACTACTGACTTGCCCTTTTTTGCTGTGGATACTAATACACACAAATGCAGAGTGGCTTCAAATTATGTTTAAATCATCTGGGTCCTTTCTCTAACATAAGATGGATGACGATTAGCTCGTTAATATTTGGTTCTTCTTCATTTCTGACACAAGCAGGCATTTGAGGTAATGACCTTTATTCTAAGAGACCCACTTCTGATGTGTTCCACAGCTGAACAGTATCTTTACTCTCCTTAAGTTCCAAGAATGTTCTGCCTTATGTTACGATTTACTTGTTTGAACATAGCTTACTTACTAGCATGTTTTTTAAAGTCTATGAACATAAATGTTTTGTTTTGTTTTAACTCTTGAGCTTTCTTTGGTTATTGATTGGTCACTCAACTGTGTTACAAGAGAAGATCTAGGGGCGCCTGGGTGGCTCAGCTGGTTAAGCGTCTGACTCTTGGTTTTGGCTCCGGTCGTGATCTCAGGGTCGTGGGATGGAGCCTGAGTCGGCTTAAGATTCATTCTCTCCCTCCCTCTGCTCCTCCCCGCCCCCCACCCCCTGTGTGCTCACTCACTAGCTCTCTCTCTCTCAAATAAATAAATCTTTAAAAAGAGAATGTGATTTGCATGATGCTCATCCTTTCATTTGTCTGGATTTGGTTTTTGGAGTGGAAGACAATTAGCTTCCACAAAAGCCCCATAAGGCCGCACAGTTACAGATCAAAAACACACCCGGAGCCAGAGTGCCTGGTTTGAGCCCTGGTTCTGCCACTTACTAGCCATGTGATCAAGACAGAGTACCTGGCCTCCCTGTGCCTCAGTTCCTCATCTGTGAAATATTAGGAAGACTAAATAAATTAAACCACATAAAGTACTTAGGATAACGCCTGGAGCATAGTAAATAGTATGCAAATGCCAGCTACTGTCACCAGGTGTGTGTTAAAAGAGTATATATTCTGGATTCCTTGGATACAATATCCTGTATGTGTCTTTTGGGTAAATTTAATCGATAGTCTTGCTCAGATCTCTTATAAATCCTATTGACTTTGTCACTTCGTGAGCTATCAATAACAGAAGTGTGTTAAAAATTCTATTACAACAGTGGATCTGATTTCTCTTTACAGTTCTGCCAATCTTTGTTTTATATATTTGGAAACTATGTTATTAGATGCATACAAGTTTTAAATTATTTTATCTTCCTGGGGTACTGAATAATATTATTATACATGATCTCCTCTATGTCAAGTAATGCTTTTGCCTTAAAGTCTTCTGGGAGGGGGGCAGGGGTGTGATATGACCATAACTACTTATCAACTTTTGTTGGGCGCTTATTTTAAGCAGCTCTTTTTGAGATATAACTGACATACAATAAATTTGCATATTGAAAGTATATAACTGCATAGATTTTGATATGTCTACACTTGTGAAACCACCATCACAATCAAGAGAATGAACCTATCCATCACCCGCAGGTTTCCTTATGCCCTTCTATATGCTCTCCCCCTGACCCCTCAGTCTCCAGGCAATGACGACTGATCCACTTTTGTCACTACACGAGTTCACACTTCCTATACTTCTGTACAGAGAAAACCATGTGGCATGTGCTTTTGTCCAGCTACCTTGCCTCAGCACTATTACTGTGAGACTCAGCCACGTCACTGCATGGCCATTGCCTGTGACTGCTCAGTAATATGTCATTAATACCTGCAAGAGCTTGTTCACCAGAGCTGTTTACCTGTTGATAGACACTGAGTGGTTTCCAGTGTGGGGCCACGACAAACTCAGCTGCTGTCAATGTCTGCCGACAAGTCTTTGTATGGATATATGCCTTCACTTTGCTTCAGTAGATGCCAAGGAGGAGAATAACTGGATCCCACGGTAGCAGTATTTTAACTTTGGAGACCCTGCCAAACTATCTGCAAAGTGGCTGCACCACTTGACATTCATTCCCACCAGCAGCAGATGGAGTCCCAGTTCTGTCACCCCATTGCCAATATACAAAACAGTCAGTATTTTTAATATTAGCCCCTCTCATAGGCAAGTGGTAGGATCTCATTATGGCGTTAATTTATATATTTACATTTCTCTAATGACTAATGATTTTGAAGATCTTGAATGTACTTATTTGACATTCTTGGTGGAATATGTTCAGTTTTTTTCCGAGTTGTATGTTTCTTATTGTTGAGATATGAGTGACTTTCTATGTACTCTAAATACAAGTCTTTGATCAGCTATGTGCTTTACAAACACTTCTGTCTATAACTTGTCTTTTATCCTCTTGAGAGTGACTCTTGAAGAACATGAATTTTAAAGTTTGATGAAGTTCAATCTATTACTTTGCTCTTATACGGATCCTGCTTTTGGTGTCATTTCTAAGAAATTTTTGCCTAACCTAAGGGCATAGAGGTTTTCTTCTAAAATAGTTTTAAGCTTTACATTTAGTTCTGTGATATATTTTGAGTTATAAAAAAATGTTATAAGAAAATGTTATACATTTTGTATATATTATAGGGTAGGGGTTGACGTTCCCTTTTAAGCACATGGATCTAACTGTTCCAATAATTTGTAGAAAAGACTATCCTTTCTCTGCTGAGTTAATAATCAGGTAGTGTTAGTCCTCTATTTTTGTTCTTCTTTATCAAAATTGATTTGTCCATTCTAAGTGTTTTGCACTTCCATAAAAATTTTAGAGCCAATTTGTCAATTTTTCCAAAAGCTTGCTGGGATTTTATTGGAGTTGCACTGAATGTATAGATCAATTTGGGGGAATTGTATCTTAACAACATTGAGTGTCCTGACTCATGAACATGGTATAGGCTCACCACTGACTTAGCTCTTCTTTAATTATTCGTAACAATGTTTTATAGTTTTCAGGGTATAGGTCTGTTGTATCTTTTGTTAGATTTTCCCAAAGCAGCTTATATTATTTGACACTATCAAAAATAGTGTTTTGAACAAAAATAAACTTAAAGTCGATTAAAGACCTAAATTTGAGACCTGAAACCATAAAATTCCTTGAAAAAAACATAGGCAGTAATCTTTTTGACATCTGCCATAAAAACATTTTTCTGGACATGTCTCCTCTGGCAAGGGAAACAAAAGCAAAATTAAACTATTGAGACTACCAAAATAAAAAGCTTCTGCACAGCAAAGGAAACCATCAACAAAACAAAAAGGCAGCCCACAGAATGGGAGAAGATATTTGCAAATGGCATATATGATAGGAGGTTAATATCCAAAATATATAAAGAACTTATACAACTCAACACCAAAACACAAAT